ATTAAAATTTGGTGTAATTTGGCCAAGTAGTTTAAGAGTTACAGCTGTTTAAAGTTGGGTTTCAGAAATGGCTGCTTTCTGTTAATTGTGGACCAGTTTCTGTAAATGGATATATTTGACTTAGTTAACTTGAGAATCATGCTAATATGATTAAAGATGAATTGTAGAACATTCCATAAGCTTTCCAGATTTTCTTGTTGCATGTCTTTTGGATTAGTACAACTCCTGGTATGAGTAAAATTAGCTGCTGCTGTTGTAGCCTTGACTCTGTGATTTCTGTGAATAACTTGTTTGCTTGATATGAGTTGATGTGAGTAGCTTGCTCTCTATAGTTAGTGGTGTGAGGTTAGTTAAATAGCTATTGGTGTCTATGTCTTGCATAATCTTGTGTTTGTCTTGAATGTTTATGTGATGCATCTTGTGTTATAATTCATCACATTCATACACATGCATCTTGCATCTCATCTAGGTGCGCTAGATGAACCACGTGAAGAACATGATGTTGAAGCCGAACCCGAAGACGATGTATGGAGGATCTATCCCGAAGATGGAAGGACTAAGCAAGTGCTAGGACCGAAGATGTCACCATGACGGTGCAAGCTAACTGAACTGACTTGTGACGGATCTCAGGCAAGCCCCGGAGCATTATAAGTCTCCTAATTTATAAAAGCAATTCTTTCTATATATGAGTTATATATTGTTGCATTAAGTTATAGGAGTTGATCGAAACCGTTGATGCATTTATTACTATCCTTGCCTATCTTATTACCCTTTTACCCTGTTAGGTCAGGATCGAATAACTGCTTGGCCTTGCTTAGAACGGTAGCGATCGGTGATGTCCGGTCACCTACATTTATAGGTGGTTACTGGAAGAATTTAGCTATGGAAAGAATGATATCCTGGAATTAACCATGTGTGATGGATAATTGGAGATCGGACGGAAAAGTTGGAGGCAACCAGACAGGGTTCTGGGGTGCTGTTAGTTTCCGTCTGTGTCAATTAAGGACCGTTCATTGTTGGGCCTCGAGTCATGTTGAACGCATGCCTTACATTTAGCTGGCCGGATAAAGTACCTTCCGACCGCGAAGCTGGGAGATTATTCGGGCCGAGTAAATTGCCCGCAGCGCACTGTGCCGGAGCAGGTGTGGTAGGACACGGGGGCGAGATGATAAGACCAAAGTGCAGTCGGTCGGCCCCCGGGTACATGTGGTTCCTGGCAAACTCGAGATTCCTGGATAGTTGACTCGGTGATCAATATCTCACTTTAGCGGGTGAGTGAGGTTTGTGTAAGGAATAAATCACCAGCTGGTTAGGAATCGATTCGAATCGCCATCGCTCCTGGATAGTGAGCACTTGACTCGAGTTACGGCATCGTAGTAATTATTATGGAACAAGGATGGTTATCTGGATGATATGGGATATGCTAAATCTAAATTGGTAACTGAATGTTATTGGTTAATCAAGTGATTGCTATATTACACTTGCTTACCTAGATGGATAGGTCATAATAAAGATGATGCAAAGTACTTAAAATGGTTTCTTCATGATAGCTTATGCTTTTCGCAAACAAGTCAGCTAGCCCACTAAAGAAAGCCATGCATAATCCTTGATGTCGCTTTATTTTGGTTTAAGACGGGTAAGTCTGGCTGAGTACATTCGAGTACTCAGGGTTTATCCCACCATGTTGCAGGTGATGTTCTCGACCTGTTGATGATGGTGGCTAACCGCCGGTGGGCTCGGTGATTCTATACTTACTTCTCATCTATATGCTTTTGTCGGATGATGTCACTAAGCTAGCAATATATTTGGAACTTATATTAATGTAATCATTTGAAAGCTATGTTGTTTTCACTAAGCGGTTTTGAAATCCAAACTTGTACTATTATTTGTTAACCCCTCTGTAATATTATTTCCGCTGCAACCCGATGTATGTGATGTGTATTTGCTTAATCACGCGATCTTGGTTGTGATGTTGATTTACCGAGGTCTTTCAGGACACTCGGCGGACTACCGGGTTTATATGAGTGAAAGTATGGGTGTGTCAACGTGTTAGCGGGGACAACCGTACTTGATCTTGTATAAATTGAGCGGTTCTATCACAGTACTACGGTCGGCATACCCCATATGGACAAGTTCCTGGACCTTTTGCAAGGTTCTTATAGGAGAATGGTATAGTCGTCCAGTATTCAACACCGGGCGAACCTCAGCAGAATGGAGTAGCTGAAAGGCGTAACCGTACCCTAATGGATATGGTGCGTAGTATGATAAGTTACTCCACTTTACCGATGAGTCTGTGGATGGAGGCGTTAAAAACCGCCATTCATATTCTCAATAGAGTACCAAGTAAGTCGGTGCCCAAAACACCGTATGAGTTGTGGACAGGAAGAGTACCCTCACTTAATCACTTGCGTGTGTGGGGGAGCCCTGCTGAGGCTAAAGTTTTTAACCCAAACATTGGGATGCTAGATCCCAAAACAGTGAGTTGCCATTTCATTGGCTACCCAGAAAAGTCAAAAGGTTTTCATTTCTACTGTCCTAACAGACATACAAAGTTTGTGGAAACGAGACACGCTGTCTTCCTAGAGGATGAAATGATTAGGAGGAGCATGGTAGCTCGAGAAATTGACCTTGAAGAGAAGCGGGTGTATGCACCCACTCCGATCATTCATGAGCCATTTTTCTCACTACCTGCTGTTGCTGCACCAACAGTACAAGACACTGTGGTGCCAGCACCTGTTGTTATCCCGCCTGTGGCAACAATGAATGATGATGAGAAACCTGTGCATCAGGATCCTATAGAACCTATTGCCACACATGAGGGGGAGCAACAACAGCCTCAAACAGAAAATGTGCCAAATGAGGAGGCCCCTAGAAGGTCTCAAAGAATTAGAAAATCAGCTATTCCTGCTGATTATGAAGTGTACAACACTGAAGAATTTCAAATGGGGGATGATCCCACCTCATTTGAAGAAGCCATGAAAAGTGATCATTCATCAAAGTGGCATGAGGCCATGGAAGATGAGATGAGATCAATGAATGCAAATAAAGTTTGGGATTTGGAGATAATTCCTAAAGGAGCCAAAACAGTAGGCTGTAAATGGGTCTACAAAATAAAACTTGACTCTCAAGGGAATATAGAGAGATATAAAGCCCGACTTGTGGCAAAAGGCTTTACACAAAGAGAAGGGATGGATTATAATGAGATATTTTCTCCAGTCTCATGTAAGGATTCCTTCAGAATCATAATGGCATTAGTGGCACATTACGATTTAGAATTACATCAGATGGATGTAAAGACGGCATTTCTCAACGGAGACTTAGAAGAAAATGTTTACATGGCACAACCGAAAGGTTTTGTCTTGGAAGAAAAAGAACGTTTGGGATGCCGCCTAAAGAAATCCATTTATGGATTAAAACAAGCTTCAAGACAGTGGTACTTGAAGTTTGATCAGACGATAAAGAATTTTGGGTTTAAAGATAATGTTGAGGACAATTGTGTCTACGCAAAGTTTAAGAATGGAAAGTTTATCTTCCTTGTCCTGTATGTGGATGATATCTTACTTGCTAGTAGTGATGTCAGTCTACTACTGGAAACAAAGAAGTTTTTGTCCTCAAAATTTGATATGAAAGATCTTGGTAAATCTTTGTTCGTTTTAGGGATCGAGATTCACCGAGATAGAAGTAAAGGGGTATTAGGACTGTCACAAAAGGCATACATAGAAAAAGTCTTAAAGAAATTCAGTATGCACAAATGTAGTCCCTCACCTGCTCCTATAGTCAAGGGCGACAGATATGGGGATTTTCAATGCCCCAGGAACCAATATGAGATCGATCAAATGAAAGTGGTTCCATATGCTTCAGCTGTCGGAAGCTTGCAATATGCTCAAGTGTGTACGCGCCCTGACTTGGCATTTGTTACCGGGTTACTTGGCAGATTCCAGAGCAATCCTGGAATAGAACACTGAAAATTGGTAAAGAAAGTCTTGCGTTATTTGCAAGGAACGAAAGGCCTCGTGATGACGTATAGATGATCTGATTCACTCCATATAGTGGGATATTCAGATTCTGATTATGCGGGAGATAATAGAAAATCCACGTCTGGATATGTGTTTACTCTCGCAGGGGGAGCTATTTCATGGAAAAGCTCAAAGCAAACCATCACTACATCGTCCACAATGTATGCCGAGTTTGTAGCATGTTATGAGGCAACGGGGCAGGTGAACTGGTTAAAGAAGTTCATACCCGGTTTGAAGGTGGTTGACGACATCAATAGACCACTCAAGTTATACTGCGATAATAATCCAGCAGTACAGTATGCTCACAACCATAGGTCAAGTGGTGCTATTACGGATCCAAGTGTCATCCGCCTAGATCTACCCTAGTCGATCCACAGAAATTAACAGATCCCACAGCTTGAAATGCAAGCATAAGTGCAAGTGACTAAAGATCTCCAGCGACTTCTTCAGTCGGAATGAGTATAAAGCTAATCAGCTCCACAGTAACATAACAAAACAGGGATAAGTTAAGTTGATATGAACCTTTGCTGCAGGGATGGCAAAGATGAAAGAAAAATTACACTGGAAGTGAAACTGCACAATGTCACAATCTGTGTGAAATATTTATGGTATCCAACATTTTAATTACAGTTAGACGGTTGCAAAAGAAAACATTTTTCCACATATGAGGTACATCATACTCAAAAGGGGGAAGGCGAAAAACAGCAAATTATACATGACATCTGATTTCAAAATATGGTCAGAGATTATTTTTCCACATATGAGGTACAAAGTACTCAAAAGCAGCAAAATGCATGACATCTGAATTCAAAATATGGTTAGAGCATGGATAAAATGTACAGGACTACCTACTTCCAATTGCTGGTCTCAGAAAAATAGAGGCACAGGCTGGGCAGGACTAAGTCGTGACTTGTCAATTCTTTCTTGGATACTTGAGAAAAGCATAAAGTCTGTTTCGATATATGTCCAAGATTACCTCGAACTTTAACATAGTCCAAGGTTGTATATTCCAGAAGTACTATCTTCCTCGAAGGAGAGCTGTTCCTCGACCTCTGCATCGGTGAAGGTAAGAGCTCTCTGCAGCTTTTTTGAAGAGAAAACCTCAACATCAGCCATGTACACAGCAATCACAGGGCGGTGATCTGATAGCCTGATATCAACTGTCTTATATGACAGTAACCTCATACCCTTACCATGGCAAAGAATTCGGTCACACCTACACATAGTTAGAATAGAGAGTTTGCTGTTAGTACACGCCACTAGTAACTTTAGATATACAAACATAACTTCAATAATGATAATTTCATTAATAAAAATTCTAGCAGGGTGCAAAATATATAGAACAAAATATACCATGCAGGTGTTCTCCTTCCAGATTTGTGATCATCACTTATGTACTTTTCTGAGTTAACCTTGTACTTATACGTTGGAGGAAAGTTGATGACCCCTTCAGTCCATCCTTCAAATAGATGCCCCTTCTTCAGCTCTACTTTCAGCTATCATTAAAGAGAATGGAAAGGTGAGCTAGAACTTATGAATAATGGGCATTTTGCAATACGATGATAAAACATAAAAGCCTACCTGATCTTTCCCAAACAATTCATTCCAGTCCTGCTTGGAGATGAGTTCATGTGTCTTCTCATATGGTAAATTGATCCTATAGTTAAGATCACCTAGCCATACAATCCTTCTGAAGCATTCAAGAAATATCAAATCTTAGATGAAACAAGCTAGAACTGCAATGCGTCACCAAATCTAGCTAGCATGAACTAAACTGGTAAACTAAAAATAAGTTATAATTGTCTTCAACCCTCGACCACATGCTCTTGTTTTGCCCCCTCAATGAAAGCAAAAGTTCTAATAGCATTGCAATATTCAAGAACGGCTGAAGATAGTGCTTTGTTCCTGTCAACTATTAAAATAAGTAGCAGATGAACCGCTAAAAAGTAGAGGTAACCAGAAACGATACAGAATCTATTACTTACTCATGGTCATATATCGTCTTAGGCATGTTGACTCTGGAAACTGGATTGAATATTGTCCTTCGGTGGATTTCTTGAACATCAGCATTCCTTTTTAGTTCATCTCCTTCCTTTTCTCCAGAGGTCAGGTGACAACATATAAAGCAAAAGTGTGTTTGGTATATGGACATGCTTACTGATATTGATCCCTGAAGCATGCCAAAGTAAGAAGAGGTTAGCATACCCTTTTCCAAATGTAGTGTTGGTGCATTGATGGAAAGTAAAATGCAAGCGATATGAGACTGGAAAGACTGGAAGATAATAGGTGCTAAAACATAAGTATTATTCTACAAAAACGCCAGTTGTTGTTTACTGTAGTTTAGATAAGTGACTGCAAGCCAGCTGACAAATACTTATAAAGTGCATGCATTTGAAACCCAGTTTTCAAACAGCAGAGTTTCTTTAACTGAACAAAAAGGGATCTGAGAGTATTGTGGCTTATAGAAACTTGCCTTATTACCAATGTATCCCATAGCACCGACCCCTACAGTTGATACTTTCAGACTCTGAATGTGCTTTCGGAGGCTTCTTCGTACCCATATTGATAGGTACACTCCAACCATCTGCTTGCTTATTATCCTTACAAAGTACGATCTTTTCCTTTTAACTGCTGCACAGTTAATGTTAAAATCAGGAACTGAATTATCCTCTGCAAATGGACCAGAATCTCCATTTACTGACTTCAAAGACAAATATAATCTTAATGCCTTTCCTGAAGCATATGACTTTGTGCTGTCAGGAAGACACTGGGCCAACATATCCAATGGTGGTTCAGGCCAAATCATTCCAAGCCTCTCTGAGTTACTGAATGTTTTAGTTAATAGCTTCTGGCAGATCTTCTCTTCCAAATTAGATTCTTTAAAACTTAGGTTATTGGATCTGTCAAAAGTCTTCATTGAAGGCAACCTGCTGAACTCGTCATCTTGTAAAATTGTTTCAGGTGCATCAGTGGGATGTTCACATTTGTTACCATGAATGCCATCAACAGAATCGGCCAAATCTTGTTCGTTCAATGGGTGCACCTCCCCATCACTTTCACTAACAGACTCACTAATAAGTTCATCTTCCATCACAAAAGCATCATCAGATGGCTTGAATTTTGACGGAGAAGGAGGATCGCTGTGACATTTATATTTGGGTTTGTCTGGGCTGATCTTATTCAATGTTTCACGAATAATATGCTCCCACATTGCAACAGGGCGGTTGTCTTCAGCACCAAATATATTCCCAGCATTTAGTGGAACAATTTCTTGAAATCTGAAAGACAATCAAATCTACTTATTAAATAAAACAATAGGAACAACAATATTATTAGAGACTAACATATAAAAATAATAGCATCTTGTATCATATGGGACAAAACATTTTTTGGAGATGAGCGAAGACATATGACAGCTAAAGATTTGATTTCCATTGTATTCAATATGACTTGTTGAGGGATTCTGTAATTTACCCAAGAACATATATATCAGCTGGATCCTCCATATCCAACCATTCTTGAATATCCAAGTCATTAGGTGGAAGTCTGCCTGCAACATTCCATGTTCCAGCACAAATCCTGCATCAAGCCAACATCAATCTTAAGGAACAGTAATGAACCTAACGTCATTTATTTGGTCCCAGATGCAGTAGCGAATACTGGTTTATGTTTGTGGTAGGCAAGATCTATGAACAAACTAGTAGTCATTCAAGTAACCGAAAAAAACTGTCGAGAAACAGTCTGGTAGATCCAAAAATTGTTTAAGGGGAGCAATACATACCTGAGTTCCCTGACATCAATATACTGAGCACGAAGGGTCTCTGACTTGCGCCTTCTATGAAGCCCACAGGGAACTGCCCCCAGTTGGTTTCCTACAATATTTGATAGATTGTATCAGTGCATACGGAAAGGTTTATGCACCTTCTCGCAAGTGTATATTTTTACTTTTTTAATGAATAAGCGTGTATGCTTCAAAGGCGCTTTAGAGATACTTATCTGAAATTAGTGATACAACAGGCTAGCAGTAGATCTTAGTTTGCCAGTGTGCTGCATGCATTGGCAATCTAACCGCTTACAAGGTGGTTAAAAACTTACTGTAAGGAGGGAAAAAACTAAGGAAACCCCTTTTTCTTTTTTTTAAAAATGAAAATCTGCTTACTATGGTATTTGTTTTTTTTATCGAAATATACACAGGAGAGCTGCGTATCTTTGTGTTATAGAGAGGAACAAATGGCCCATATACATTACCAACTCATGCCAGGACCAGAAATGCGAATAATCCCATTGAAAAAGAAGCACATTTGCTGTCAGATATAACAGCTAATATGATAACAACCACAAGTAATTACCAATAGCCTCAGCACCGAATCCACGGAAGTTCCTCTCTTCATCATGCAACTTGCGCTCCCATGCGCACATCTCTGCTCAAGGTCCATTACATGTCGACTGGCTTTGGTCTTCGACACTGATCAAAATCAGCACAAGCCCCAAACCTCCCCCAAAAAGGGAGAGGCAATCTAACGCAATGTAGCTTTGGCTAAAATGAACCAATAATTTTGAAGCTTGAAATCACCGCCAACAAAGTAAAGCGCAGCATTTATACTCCCTGTTTGCCCTTTTCAAAAGTTACCCGCTTTTTGTAAGCAACCATGTACTGCAACTGTATTTCGTGCAATCAGATTCAGACCCTCCTTTTCTTTTATGTTCCTTTTATAATTCGTCTACAAAAAGGCAGGATACAAAGAGTGGGAGATCTTATCGTTTTGAAAACCACGAGGAATAACATTGTACTTCTACTCTGGTAGTTCATCGAAAATAGACGTCCATTTTTGTTTCATTTCTAAGAAAGGAAGGAATTTACCAAGGTGAAAGGAATAGCTTAGGAGCACAGAAGCATGAGGAACCAAACAACCATAGAAATATAGAATCAACTCATTATGTCGAGTTTCTATGAGTAAATGTGAAGTCATTTTCCAAGCTCTTGGGAACGACTTCCAACTTTAATTTTTACCCCCAAAGGCAAAACAAATTGGATCATGATGGAGGAAGGAATCGTGCAGTTACATACAAGTAAGCACCAGGGAAAGGGAAAGGGAAGTCGACCCTTACTGGTTGGAAGCAGAAGTAGCATTTACTAATTGTTCAGGTCAGTTCTTTTTCCATACTACAAAACAATGAAGCATGGCAAGAAAGATGTAACATCAGATCAATTTTGGCAACACCACGCGTGAAGAACAGTGAGAGACAGAATCAATCACGAAGCATTGTCCGATCATTCATGAAAGGGCACACAGAATTTTTAGTTCGCCTTTGTCATCATGGGAAGATGCTGATTTAGAAGCCGAACTAAGCAAGCAATTAAACAGGTCATGTGCAAAAGCCAAAAGGGATAAACGGAATGATGAAGGTAGGAGGGAGTCGGCTTGGAAGTGAGGAGCGTATCGCTCACCTTCATACTCGACTTCGCTATCCGTGTCGTCGCCGGTGGTGTCGCCCTCGTCGGCGCTGAAGTCGGACTCCGGCGACCTGATGTTCAGCCACTTCCGCAGCACGGTCCTGGGCCACAGCTGCGTGTCCGGACAACACAAACAAACAGCACCTGAGTTAAGCACCACCACGAAACAAAGAGAAGCAGCAACAAAGCAAAAGCACGCACGGAGGCAGGCACGCACGCACCGATGTCCTCACCTGCTTCTGCTTCCTCCCCTTCCGCCGCATCCGTTGCGCGTCGGGGTGGGTCGCCGCGACGGCCTCCATTTCCTGGCGCTCGGAGCCGCCGCGGGCGAGGGGATGCAATGGCCAGGGCGGCGCGCGCGCCCGCGCGGACGAGGACGAGGACGAGGGCGAGGGCGCGGCGGCTGCCATCGTCTCCGCTACAGCGGTCAGTTGGCAGTTGCGGGTAGCTTTGCTTGGCCCAGCTAAAGATCTATGGTCCAGCCACGGACCGCCGCGGTGCCTGCCTCTGCCTGCGGCTGTGCCGCCTTGGCGCCTTCCCTGCCTTGTTCGGAAAAAAAACCGGTGGCGACGCCGCGTTGTTAATTGTTGTTGGCCTGGCGCTTGGCTGATGAGAGCTGCTGTTGTGGACCGGAGGCGAAGAGGACGCAGACCCACTGCGAGCGACACTGACATGTTCATTGGTTTCTGGCTCCATAAACTCGGTTAATATTGGTTTACCGCGAATGAAAAATACTGTATCATAATTAATAAACTCTGGGCGAAACAAACGAGCGAACAGCCTGACTGACTGAGCTTCCTGTGATCATTGCCCACCCACGCGACGGATAATAAAGGGCGTAGCCGGTGGTAGATCACGGTCACCTGCCGCGTGCTCTGACAAGGCGCCACGTGGCGCAGGTGGGGCACCGAGGTCTCCACGCCGGCCGACCAACCAACCAGCTGCGCGCTGTGCCACTGGATGGATGCAGGGCCCGGTAGCACTAGCACGGTAGCACCGGCGGCGGTGAGATTTGTGGCATCTCGCGCGTTCTCTGTGCTGTGTGCCGACCGGAGGACCCACTTGCCCGGCCGGAGTCGCCCTCGCACCTGCGTCCAGTAGACCAGTAGGCGCTTCGTCGCGCAGTAGGAGTACAGCTCGCGCGCCGCGGAAACGCTGCGGTCACGACGAAGCTGCCTGATCCGGGGCGCCCGAGCGAGCCGTAGCTCTCCGTGTCGCTCTTGCTGTTCGCGGACGATTGGCTGGCCTTGAGTGGTGCCGTCAGATCAGAGCCATCAGGCTATTGTTAGTGCCTAATCTTTTTCCTCTTTTGGCCTCTCTTTTGCACAACTTCTCGGTCATTTCTGTTCACGGATTTCTCGTGCTTCGTTGGCTCTGTGCCACTTTACGTGCGATTTCGGCAAGTCCAAAACCAAAAGATCCGGGGCCTCGGCAAATTTTAATACTGCATCACGATGAACGTGTGCTTCATAGATTATACTAGTTATTACTTTAGCCGCTGCTAATACAAATCTACTCAGCGTGTGTTAATAGGGTTCGTTGTCTGCTCCGTAAAGCTGAAGAATCCTCTCGAACGTCGTAAACAACAGGCAGCCAAGCAATCAGACCGGTTAATCTACCCAAATCGACCTGTCAAAGGACTGTCAGCAACTGTCAATCATCTTAGTTGAACTCGACCTAAGCTTCTTTTTTTTTTTTGTTCCAGAGAGGAAGAACAGACTCGTTGTGGCTTTTGTCCTTTATTAGTGTGTTTGGTTTGAGGATAAGGGTGGATGGGATATGGTCATCAATGGATTTCGGGGATATCCACGTTGTGTGTTTGGTTGGATGAATAGGACGAGTCATTTTCCTGTTTGGTTGGATGGATGAGATTGCATGTGACGAGAATACTTGACTAATTATGTCTATTATTTAAAAATAATTACAACTAATTATACCCTAATAAATATGCACGGACACTAATCTTATCATTATAATCACTAATTAAAAATAAAATATATGTTAATTAGCACTATACTACTCTAATTGTCATACAAAACATGCGCTAATCAACATGTGGATATCCTCATCCGCTAGATTTTTGGGGTCCAAGATATCCAACATCTACCTAGAATATTCCTTGGTGTGGATATCCAGATTCAACTTGTCCATCCAATCAAACACCGTGTATCCATAAATATCTATGTCCCATCCATAGCCATGAACCAAACACACCCTATATGCCTATGATTCACCCTGTACTAAGGCGGTTGATTGCAATGGTTTCTAGATTCTTCCGTAGGCTGCTGCTATTTTATGTTTAGCATTTTTTTTCTTTTTGTTGGCATTAGGTGTACTTTGACTCCTTTTTTTCTGTTCTGGGACGCGGTAAGCTAGCGTACAGTTTGGTGGGGAGTTAGGAAACTTTTATGGATGCCACTGAGATGTGGTTAGAATTTTTTTTAAAGGACTCCAAGTCTAATGTGATTATCTAATTCCACCGAAGGAGGAGAAAATAGATTAAATATGCTGGGCCACTACACGTTTGCTTACGAAATTGTTGCGAGAGTGATGCCAGAGAATGGTCGTGTACAGCATATGTTTTCTTTCTAGCACAATGGACTGTGTGGTCATCATGATTACTATCAAATATCACCTAAATTTTTTGTATTTTTATTCTTTTCTTTTGTTTGTATATGGCCTGAGTTAAAATATTGGGATCAACCCTGTGATTTTGACACATTATTTTCGATGGAACACAACCTGGTCAGAGTGAGACAATGGGATCCTACTAAATCTGCTGACAGGGGAACAAACTTGTCAACGTGGCACTCCTCCTCCCTTTTGAAATGGAACAATTGGACAAACCACGTTCTGCCGTCTTGGATGCCCAAAAAAATGATTCTGTGCAGTTCATGCAGCCAGCCGGCTTCTCCAATTGTGGTTGCACATGAAAGCAGAGCAGGAACGGATCAGCCCATGTTGGTCGCTTGGGAATGTCCGGTGCGCGCAAGCGCTGCATTATTGAGCACCTGACATCACATCACTGTTCATGCATTCCATTGGTTTTTCCAAAAGGAAACCATTAACATGTTTAACTAGCACTATCAGTGTTTCATGTTCTACAGGTGTGATTGCCTTTTTTTTTTTTTGTTCTAAACAAGTTTCTCAGTCGACTAGCCAAAAGCCACCACACGTACAAGCTAGACGGGATCCAAAGCTGGTGCGTGTAACCGCTCCGTGATCTAGTTCGTTGAGGACCGGATGAGGGGACATGAATACATGATAAAACACCGCATGTGGATCAAGCACTACTGGTGCGCGTCTTTCACCTCGCGGATCGAACTCACGTTGTTGTTGGTTCGTTTACGTGAGAGAAAAATCTGCTAGACTGCGGGCTGGTTCGCGTGAACACTGTTTTGCTGAGAGGGCTGGCCAGCCAGCCCAGCCAGCCGCTCCCAGCCGATCAGGCTGTTTACCGCTTGGTGCTCGGGTTCGGCCACATGGAATGGAACCCGGGGCGGTGCCGGCAGTTCAGCACGGACGCTCACCCTGTTCTTACTCAGTACAGTATTTTTGTGGCGTTCGTTCGCTGGGACTGCAGTCTTGCAGAAGCGTCGCGTTTGACGCGCGCGCACACCAGTGGCAGTCTTGCAGATGGACTCGGATCGCATCCCTCGGTCTGTCCACTGGTTGGTTTTTTAGTGATAAGCTCAGCTGGTGCTGGTTTATTGTGAGAGAAAAATACTGTTGGCTGACTGATAAACTCTGGCTGAAACCAACGAGCGAACACGCTGACTGAGTCACCGTGTCGCCTGTCGCATATCTCTTCCAGAACTTTCTGCACATGGCCGACCGGTATTCGAGGTCGAGTGGCGAGGCTCGCCGCTGCTGGTAGCCCGGTACTGGCACGCATCGTCATGTATCGCGACTCCGCGAGAACCTGTGGCGGGGGCGCGGACACGAGACCACGGACGACGCCGACTTCATCCGTCACCCGATGCAGATGCAGCTAGGCTTTGTCTGTTCTGTGACGTATACTACGTACAAGTACAGCTACGGGCACGGGGTTAGATTATGTTATGTTCAGATGGGGGTGGTGATACGTACTATGTCGTTGCAGCAGGAGGCTGGTTGCATTGCATGTGTTGTTGATATTGATGAACGATGAGTGATGAGGCCGATGCGGATGAGAGGCACAAGCGTCCATGATATGCTCGGTTAGGAAGTCGGTTTGACCTCCAGCCTCTCCAGTCTCCAGATCTAAGTTACCATGCAATGCAACACACGTTAAGCTGCCGCTGTGGCCTCATATCTTCTTCTTTTCTTTTCTTTTTTTTTTTTTTTTTTGCCATGGCAGACGTAGCACAAGGCCAAAGCCACACAAAAATCTCAAATCTGTGGTTGAGCGCGACGCGCTGACAGCGACTTGGTGACTGACAGAGAACTGGTGGCCGTGAGGCCTTCGTGCTCTTGATGCCATTGAGGGTGCGACTGTGTGTGAGCAGAAAGCGTCACCCCCACTACAACTGTGCGGCCGGGGCTCCCTTTGCCCTTTTGTTGGTGCCTTTGTGCTTGTACGGTTACATGCACAAGGCATCTTCTTGGGACGTTCCAGAAGGATAGGCGAAATGCGGATCCAACGGGCGCTGTGCCGCTGTCTGCGACGCAAGAGGACCTCTGCGATCTGATCATCTGACCAGGGACGTCTCGTCCTTAGACTGCAGATTGTTTCTTGTTTATCAGGCTCGTTTTCAAGAATTTATTGAGTGCCTTCAAAGAATTTACTTAGTGTTTAGGAACAGTGAAAATAGAAACAGAAACAAACAAATATGAAGATAGGTTTTAGCGATTCTAGTCATTTTGGGCTAAAGATTTCTGACGATGTTATACTGTCCCACGCTCCTATCGGTTTGAATATTAGTTAAGCATGTTTGAAGACTTGCTAATCATTTCCAAATTGGCGTTGAGCTTGGTTGATATCTAAAATTTTGTCATATCAAAGATTTGGCTAGCTAAAAGTTGGAGAAAAATATTGCCATAGATTTGGCAAGCCAAATGTAAGAGTTTGACAAGTTTTGGTAGCAAACCAAATACTAACTAAAATCATGATTTGCCAAATCATTGACATGGTAAATTTTGGAAGCAAACCAGGCCCTGAATTGCATCTGGAGCACTCATTGACTTCCGTGGTCTAGCTTCAAGAACAAAAAAATCTGGCAGGCACTCGATCGAGTTAAGTCGAGTGGCTCAGACGCGCCTCGGTTGGCAGAAACGTGATTCTCTTGCAATGTCCACAAAAGGCCCCAGCGTTTCCAACCGTTAATCGACATATCAAAATTCTCTTGACTAGTTCAATGCATGCAGCGTGCAGTGTAGCCAGGTCCTTCGAATAGTCGAATGTAGTCGAGCCTTGATTGGTTGGCTAGAT